AGGGGGAATCGTTGACCTCCCCCCAGGCTGGGCTGTGCTCAGGGGGGCTGGGTCTGCGGGAAGGAGCAGCAAGCCGAGGGCACACGCAGCCCACCCGTCTCTCACCCTCAGTGTCTCACGGACTCTCTCGCCATCTGTGGGCTCCTGGCTCGCTCTCGTTCCCTGCCAGCCCCGTTTCGTCTCGGGAGCCTCTTTCTTTCCTGGCTCTGTCCCTCTGCCCCCTCTCCTGGTCCTGGAGCAGCCGCAGGGAAAGGGAAAGCAGCTGGCTGACACAGAAGGGCAGGGCGGGACTCTTCACCTTCCTGGCCGGCTGCGGTGGGTAACAGGGGAGGGACAGAGCAGGGCCTAGATACGCTCCCCATACCCAGGGCATTTCCAGGTGGACACAGCCCTAAATGTCGCCATGCAGTCGGGCAGGGGTGGGAGGGCGGCAGTGTGTCATTACTACACACACACACAGAGCAGGGCTAAACATACCCAGCACGGGGAAGCAGGGACACACACACCATATCCAGCATGTAGCAGCAGGGTTCACACACACACACACACACACAGAGCAGGGTTCATCCCATGCATCAGGAACACACACACACACACACAGATCAGGGCTCATCCCACGCAGCGGGGACACACACACTTTCGGGCTCTGTCTGCACTAGAAGGAAAGGTGTGGTGTTATTCACGTGTGTGAGCTCACTGGTGTTAACATCCTAACGCAGGCCAGGCCGGTTGTAGCTCTGACATGGGTCGGCTGGCTGAGATCACCCATGAGACCCCCGTTTTAAAGCAAGGCACCCCTTTTCCCCTAGTCCAGACAAAGCTTTGGCTTGTTTGGAAGTCACGAGGCTGCTCTCGCCTTCCATTTCCTCGCTGACCTAAAAGCTCCTCACAGGACGCACCCCCTGTATGACTGTCTGCCCCCTTCTTTGGAGCCCTGCTTCAGCAAAGTATTTAAAGGCCTGCAGAACTTTAAACCCTTGAGCAGCAAAGTCACTGAAGTCTTGTGTTTAAAGTGATGCCTAAATGTTTTGTTACGGTACTGGGGAGTAGCAGTGTTAACCCACGGGACTCCCAGCCACTGGGCATTAATGGTGTTAGCCAGCGGGACTCCCTGCCACTGAGAATTAGCAGAGTTAACCCACAGGACTTCCTGTCACTGGATTTCTCTCTCTGACCATTGTTATCATGATTTACATAGAGACTTAGTTCAGGTTGTAGGTGAATTTATTACATGATAGGACTATACAGCAAGAGCAGTAATGATAAAGCAACGAGCACACTAATTATTGATATAGTATAAATGAAATTGCATGGGCTATAGATTATATAGAAGTTAACTTCAATATCCAACTTGTAGCAATATGCTGGATTCTCCAAGTGCTCACACAGGCTGTTGGGATCATGATATGATTAAATTGCTCCTCAGATCACCTGATGCAAAACACGGCATTGTTACAGTTGATATATATGAGTGTGGCCAACTCTTCTGATTCTAAGTTTCCTGGTGTCGTGTGATCATGGGAGAATCTCAGCTTTCATTAAAAAGAAGAAGTTTCTAGCCCTAGTTTTTAGTGGCTGTGGAGAACAGCAGGAAAAGGTGACCAACAAACCTTCAAAACAGGAGGCAAATAAAAAACAACAACATTTTTAAAAATCTCATGGTTTTTAGGGGCTGGAATGGTGATTTTTGAATGCTCATGGTCGACATTACTGGGAAATACTTGTTCCAGCCCCCTCATTCATTTGTAACCCGGCTAGCCATGGTCTGCACTTCTTCAAATCAAAGGCATTGTTTAAAATGTGCACAAAGTCTGCTGTAGGCCCTGGCTGGAGGGTCTGGTAGGCCGGGTTCTAAAGAGACAGCAGCTGATAGCAAGATTGGTTGCTACGCTGAGTTACATCAGTTGAGGATCTTGGTGCATTTTGTTGGTTTTCCTGTATTAGACAAAAGGTTTGTCTAAAAAGCCTAGAAAATTGACTCACTGCAGAAAATTAAAGAATAAAAATGCCGCTTCTTTTTTGGCTTGATTTTTAAAATGTGGGAGGGTCATGCCTTGATCTCCAGCTGGGATTGGGTCTCTGATTCATGAACACGTCTGCTGATCATTTATGCTTTTTCCCGTCTTCCTTCAAAGCGGTCTTCCGAACCCTTTCAGCATCTTCAGCCACTTCACTGAGAAAGCTCAACAGCATGAAGTAGGTGGTTAAAAAAGAGGTTCCCACAGTTAACATGGGACCAAGCACTGGTAGATATGCAGTTAATTTAGGCACTGGTAGATATGCAGTTAATTTAGGCAAACTCATCTTTAGCAGCAGTTTGATTACAACATCTTTGTTTATTTCTGTTGCCCTGGGAGATATGATAACAGTCTTCAGCTCCGCTATCGGTTTCCCAGTCTGCCTGGCCAGATTAGCCAAGGAGCCGTCATCTAGGCCGAAGTACTTGTAGAAGGCAATCATGAATCCTAGCAGGATGCCAATATCACAAGCAACAGAGAGCCCTGGGATAGGAATGACATTGACAGAAGCCGAAGCGAGAGAGATTAGCCATATCCGCTTCTTCAGGGCAGCTTTCTTCTCCTCTATGATTTCTGCAGACAGGTTTGGCAGACTGAGCAGAAAGGCAAGTCTCTTCAGACCTGGGAGATCATCCTGCAAAGTCTTGACCAGGCCAGGAGCATCATACTTCGTGAATTCGCAGCTGGAGAGAAGGAAAATCTCTGGGTTGCTTATTCCTGCCTTTTGCAGGTGTTTCCTGCAGTCCATCTTGAGTCGCTGCAGGACACTCTCCTCCCTGAATGTTCTAGGGTGATCCCTTTCTTCATTGCGCAAGTCTTCATCCACCTTGGAGCGCACAAAGTAGAACCTCTTCCCCATCCTCTCGATCTCCTGGGCCAGGGCCATATGGTTGCATTTGAAGCGCTCCGAAGCAATTATCACAAAGAAGTCATAGCGTTTGAAGTTCACCTGCTGCAGGTACGTGGTTGGCTGAAAATCTGGGGCGCCAATGCCGGGCAGGTCCCACAGCCTCACGTTGGGATGGTTTGGATAGGGATAAACGGTTGGCTTCGTCGTCGTTTCTGTCACCCCCGTTGGGGCAGCCCCGTCATCCTCAGCGGTCAGTCCCCGGAGGGCGTTGATGAAGGATGATTTCCCTGCGCCCGTCTCCCCTGCGACTGCGATATTGAGAATGGTGGATTTGAATGACTCCAGCTCTGCCTGCGATATAGAAGCCACTTCAGCCTGTTCTTTGTCTTTGAAAAGACCCATGAACTCCTCAAACAACTTTATGGAGCCATTGAAGAATTCCTTTGGGTCCAACCCTAGATCCAGAGCTTCCATGCGAGCTGAGATTAAATCCATATCTTTCCTGAGCACTGAGGTGGACTCCATATCTATGGCACCTACAAGAGAGTCCCCTTTCCCAAGACAAGAAAAGGAAAAGGCATGTTTTGGTTAGTGTAAATGCAGCCTTAAAAGAATAAAACTGTTCACATAGCAACTTATACACTTGCAGCCGTGGGGCTGGTTTCACCCCCACCAGCATTTGTGCTGAAACTTGCATCCCCATCCCCACTGTGCACAAATCTTAAACACTGTTAATACAAGTTAACCTCCCCGGTGCACAGACTATTACTCCTGGGGGAATTCTGTGCTACTGTACACATGCATAATTAACCAGCTGTGCATATTTTTAATATTTTGGCACAGAATTCTCCCAGGAGTAGACTATGGGGCTGTCAGATGTGCTGCTGGAGGTCACCATGAGGGGAGTCTGATGATGTCTGGAATATGTGTTGCTTTTCAGGATGTGTTGGAGATGGGAGTGAAAGCCAAGGCCCACCCAGCACAGGCACGGGGGGCAGGGAGAGGGGCTCAGACAGCCCCCCAGAGCAAACTGCTCCTAATTCCCAACTCCCATATGGGGGGCAGGCTGAGCCCCCCAAATCCTGGCTGACACGAGGGGTGGGCGAGAGAAGGACTCTGACACTCCCAGATTCTGGTACACACCTGGGAGGAGACTATGTGGGGCTGACACACTCCTTCACCCCTCATCCCTCCCCCTTTCTCTGCCACTCACCTGTGTGTCACCCATCCTAGCGTCCCAACCCCACTAATCCCCACCCCTTCCCCCTGAGGTGGCCCCCAACCCCTCCCCATCAATCACCCCATTTATCCCCCTCCCCTCGCTGCAGCCCTAAACCGCATTAATCAGAATAAAAAACTACTTGGACAAATCATAGACGTACGACTGGAAGGGACCTCGAGAGGTCATCTAGTCCAGTCCCCTGCATTCAAGGCAGGATTAAGTATTATCCAGCCCATCCCTGGCAGGTGTTTGTCCAACCTGCTCTTAAACACCTCCAGTGATGGAGATTCCACAACCTCCCTAGGGAATCTATTCCAGTACCTAACCATCCCAACAGGAAGTTTTTTCTAATGCCCAACCTAAACCGCCCTTGCTGCAATTTAAGCCCATTGCTTCTTATCCTGCCCTCAGAGGCCAAGGCACAAAACGAGATCCAACTAGCTAGAGACATAAAGGGTAACAAGAAAACATTCTACAAATGCATTAGAAGCAAGAGGAAGACCAATGACCGGATAGGGTCGTTACTCAATGAGGGGGAAAAACAATAACAGAAAATGTGGAAATGGCAGAGGTGCTTAATGACTTCTTTGTTTCGGTTTTCACCAAGAAGGCTGGCAGTGATTGGACATCTCACATAGTGAATGCCAGTGAAAATGAGGTAGGATCAGAGGCTAAAATAGGAAAAGAACAAGTTAAAAATTACTTAGATAAATTAGATGTCTTCAAGTCACCAGGGCCTGATTAAATGCATCCTAGAATACTCAAGGAGCTCACTGAGGAGATAGCTGGGCCAAAAGTCAAGGAAGATTCCTGGAAAATGGCAAATATAGCACCAATCTATAAAAAAGGAAATAAGGACAACCCGGGGAATTACAGACCAGTCAGCTTAACTTCTGTACCTGGAAAGATAATGGAGCAAATAATTAAGCAATCAATTTGCAAACATCTAGAAGATAATACAGTGATAAGTAACAGCCAGCACGGATTTGTCAACAACAAATCATGTCAAACCAACGTGATAGCTTTCTTTGACAGGGTAACAAGTCTTGTGGATAAGGGGAAGTGGTAGATGTGGTATAGCTTGACTTTAGTAAAGCTTTTGATACTGTCTCACATGACCTTCTCATAAACAATCTAGGAAAATGCAACCTAGATGGAGCTTGTGATGGGTTCAGTCACGGAGACCGCCCTTGGGACTGTCACCTGATGTGAAGTGACCTCTGAGCCCAAAGCTGCAGACTTTAACCAAAAATTGCTCAGCAGGTCACCTATCTGCAGCACCCAGACACCCAGTTCCCAATGGGATCCAAACCCCAAATAAATCAGTTTTACTCTGTATAAAGCTTATACAGGGTAAACTCATAAATTGTCTGCCCTGTATAACACTTATAGAGAGATATGCACAGCTGTTTGCTCCCCCAGGTATTAATCACTTATTCTGGGTTTACTAATAAACAAAAGTGATTTTATTAAATATAAAAAGTAGGATTTACGTGGTTTCAAGTAATAACAGACAGAACAAAGTAAGTCACCAAGCAATATAATGCCAAAACACACAAGTCTAAGCCCAATACATTAAGAAACTGATTATAGGTAAACTCTCACCCTCAGAGATGTTCCAATAAGCTTCCTTCACAGACTAGACTCCTTCCTAGTCTGCGCCCAAATTTTTCCCCTGGTAAAGTCCTTGTTAGTTCCAGCAAACATCTTAGGTGGAAAACAGGGGTGTTATCATGACTGGCAGCCCTCTTTGTTCTATTCCACCCTTCATTGTATAGCTTTGGCACAAGGCAGGAATCTTTTGTCTCCCTGGGTCTCCACCCCTCCTTCTAAATGGAAAAGCACCAGGTTTAAGATGGATTCCAGTATCAGGTGACATGTTCACATGTCCTGTGAGACCCCCAGCCTCCATTCTTCCAGAGCTGTCCTGAACATACCCAGGAAGGTTTGCAAGTAAACAGAGCCATTTACAGGTCATTGATTTTAAAGCACCCTTAATGGCTTCCATTTACTATCTTTACATCAGTAATACAAGCTTATATCTTATTCTCCTAATTCCAGACATAGAATTAATACACGCAAACAAAGGGGATGAACACACTCAGTAAATCATAAGCTTTGTAATGATACCTTACAAGAGACCTTTTGCATGAAGCATATTCCAGTTACATTATATTCACATTCATAAGCATATTTCCATAAAACATTATGGAGTGCAACGTTACAGAGCTACTATAAGGTGGGTGCATAATTGGTTGGAAAATCGCTCCCAGAGAGTAGATATCAGTGGTTCAGAGTCATGCTGCAAGAGCGTAACGAGTGGGGTCCCGCAGGGATCAGTTCTGGGTTCAGTTCTGTTCAATATCTTCATCAGTGATTTAGGCAATGGCATAGAGAGTACACTTATAAAGTTTGCAAACAATACCAAGCTGGGAGGGGTTGCTAGGATTATAATTCAAAATGATCTGGACAAACTGGAAAAATGGTCTGAGGTAAACAGGATGAAATTCAATAAGGACAAATGCAAAGTACTCAACCTGGGAAGGAACAATCAGTTACACAAATACAAAATGGGAAATGAGTAGGAAGGAGTACTGCGGAAAGGGATCTGGGGATTAAAGTCTGGAGAAGAGAAGACTGAGGGGGGACATAATAACAGTTTTCAAGTACATAAGAAGATCTATTTTTCTCCCTCCTTCTTATAACAACTTTTTATGTATTTGAAAACTGTTATCATGTCCCCATCTCAGTTTCTCTTCTCCAGACTAAACAAACACAATTTTTTCAATCTTCCTCATAGGTTATGTTTTCTAGACCTTTAATCATTTTTGTTGCTCTTCTCTGGACTTTCTCCAATTTGTCCACATCCTTTCTGAAATGTGGTGCCCAGAACTGGACACAATACTCCAGTTGAGACCATATCAGTGTGCAGTAGAGTGGAAGAATTACTTCCCATGTCTTGCTTACAACACTCCTGGTAATACATCCAAGAATTATGTTTGCTTTTTTTGCAACAGCGTTACACTGTCGATTCATACTTAGCATGTGATCCACTATGACCCCCAGATCCCTTTCCACAGTACTCCTTCCTAGGCAGTCATTCCCATTTTGTATGTGTGCAATGATTGTTCCTTCCTAATTCGAGTACTTTGCATTTGTCCTTATTGAATGTCATCCTATTTACTTCAGACCATTTCTCCAGTTTGTCCAGAGGATTTTGAATTTTAATCCTATCCTTCAAAGCACCTGCAACCCCTCCCAACTTGGTATCGTGTGCAAACTTTATAAATATACTCTCTATGCCATGATCTAAATCGTTGATGAAGATATTGAATGGACCCAGACCCAGAACCGATCCCTGCAGGACCCCACTCATTATGCCCTTCCAGCATGACTCTGAACCAGTGATAACTATACTCTGGGAATGATTTTCCAACCAGTTATGCACCCACCTTATAGTAGCTCCATCTAGGTTGTATTTCCCTAGTTTGTTTATGAGAAGGTCATGTAAGACAATATCAAAAGCCTTACTAAAGTCAAAATATACCACATCTACCACTTCCCCCATCTACAAGGCTTGTTACCCTGTCAAAGAAAGCTATCCGGTTGGTTTGACATGATTTGTTCTTTATCACCTTATTATCTTCTAGGTGTTTGCAAATTGATTGCTTAATTATTTGCTCTATTTTCTTTCCGGGTACAGAAGTTAAGTTGACTAGTCTGTAATTCCCCGGGTTGTCCTTATTTCCCTTTTTATAGATGGGCGCTAGATTTGCCCTTTTCCAGTCTCTGGAATGTCTCCCGTCTTCCAAAGATAATTGCTAGTGGCTCAGATATCCCCTCAGTCAGCTCCTTGAGTATTCTAGGATGCATTTAATCAGGCACTGGTGGTTTGAAGACATCGAACTTGTCTAAGTCATTTTTGATTTGTTCTTTCGCTATTTTAGACTCTGATCCTACCTCACTGGCATTCACTATGTTAGACGTCCAATCGCCACCAACCTTCTTGGTGAAAACCAAAACAAAGACGTCATTAAGCTCCTCTTCCATTTCCACATTTTCTGCTATTGTCTTACCCCCCATCATAGAGTAACGGGCCTCCTCTGTCCTTGGTCTTCCTCT